ATGAAATCATCATCGTACTGCTCGCCCTCTAACGTGTAGTGGATTCCTACTACACGTTTCTCAACGGTTATCGATGCGCCTGTTGCAAGGCGCACCGTCATCCTTGTGAGGGGAATGTCGCGCTCAACGAACTTGAGCCTACGACCCTCTAGTGACTGGCGACGAACAAAGTTGTTCGACGCCCCACAGTCTACTAGGGCACGAAGCGACAAGTCATTTGTCGCTTCCAACTTCAAGGTGATGAGCGAAACGTCATCACCAGGTGCAGAGACACACAATGATTGTGTATCTGGAGCAACTTTCGTCAAGAGATTTGCAAATTCTCTTGAGGTTGCTGGATCAGTAGGGCGCTCCGCCCCTACTGACCCCGACCATTTTTTGATGGCCCGTCTCGCTGTTGCGGCTTCGCAACAGCGCTGGACCCACGCCCATTGCCCTTTCAGGCAAATTGTCGTCCATTTCGCTCAGTACTGTTTGGTACTGGGCGTGGAGCACTACACTCGTATGCGTAGTGCCCTAACTTCTGACAGCGATTGCACCTCTGCAATCGCTTGTTGTTCGAAGAGCGAGGTCTCTTGCTCTCAACATAGCAGAGGTCCATTGGTTCTGGACCTCCGATCTCTTGTCGTCTCGGTGGACGGTAAGAGTTTGAGCTAGCATGAGCCTGTCTCATGCTAAAGTCTTCCTGTTCCGCGGCTGATATCGCTTCTTCAAGCGTATTCAGCTCAAGGCGGAACAGGTGGCTCCTGACGGGCCCTTCTGCGAGCCCTTGCATGAACACCGTAATCAACGTGTGTTCATGAACTGGGTTTGCAGTTATACTACTCGCAAGGAGTCGTATATGTTGTGCGTAAGCGTGCACATCACGCTTACCCTGCTTGAGTTTCAGGAGCTCTGAACGAGCCCTGAACTCAGCACGTGGCGGCTCAAACGTTTGTCTGAGCCGGGACTTGAAGTCATCTAGCGACCTAAACACGTTTGGGTCGCTACTCTCGAGTCCCAGGGACCAAGTTTTGGCACGCCCTGCCAAGTGGGTCTGAGCAAATGTGAGTTTCATTTGCTCATCTTCGACGCGACGAGCCCTTAGGGCTCTGTCGAGTTCGACAAACCATAGTAACAGGGAGTCCTCCGGGACTCCACTGTACTTGGAGATGTCGACTTTCATCACTTCGGGACGACGCGCATGCGCCGTCCCGCCCACAGCAGCATGGAATTGCTGCTGTCTCAACAGCTCCGTCTGTTGAGCACCGAGTTCTCTCAACTGCTCGGCCTGTTGAGAGCCTTGCTGGTGAAGCAAGGCTACTTTCTCCCTTCTCGAGAGCAAGTTCATTGTGAATGAACTTGGCGATAGCGGCATGTTGTTGGTCTCTGTCTGAGAGACTCCATCATGGCGCTAATGGCGATTCGCCTACGGTAGAACTCATTCGTTCTACCGCACCCCATTCGATGTCACTCGAATGGTTAAACCCTTCACGCGTGGCGTGAAAGGTCTCTTCATCATCCAACATGTTTATGTTGGATGTTGTGGTCCTTGGAAGGACTACAAAGTGCTACCAGGTGTAACGGGGCACACCCTTGCGTGAACTTAACGCAAGGGTATCGGTGCCCCGACAGACGTACACGAGGCAAGCGAGGAAGCGTAGGTAGGGTAAAAGCAGAACCGTTATATTAATAAAATTAAGTCTTTAAACTACTGTCTCTTCGTTTGACTTAATTCAATTATACTAATATAACTGCATGTATGGTGACGTCTCGTCACCACTCATTGCGCGCGTCTTGCGGCGATTGGTGGGTTGATATCATCACGATATCAACCAATGAACAGACCCTTTGGTCGACCCTTCAATATCACCACTTTGGTGATATTGTTTAAAGAATATCCATCTTATATTCTTTATTGTCACTTTCCTTAAGTGACAATATCATGTAACGGGCTGCCCCGTTACAGTTACGCCTTAGCGTTTGGAAACAAACACCAAGAAATACGAGCTAAACTACGGCACTGACGTGAGACATGTTAGATCCAAGGTGCTGCACTGACGTAAGACAAGTACGAGCCAAGGGGCTACACTAACGTAATACAGGTTCAATCTAAGATGCAGCACTGACGACATACAGGTTTGAGATAGGTACTTGCTGCAAAGCTTACTCTTTACCTTCATTCGATCCTATCGCGACTCATATATCTACTATATTCAGATTTCTAAATGGATACTCGTCAGAACGACAAAGACAGCTCAAATACGTATCGTCAGCAGTCCGAGGTTGATGGCAACTTGCGGCCTGACGTGTCGGACGTATGTAGAAAGTCAATGCTAACAGTTTAACAATCAATGCTTTGACATTACACGAATTATTGCTATGAATGTTTCTCAATCAGGCCGATTTGCTGTATCATAAGCATGCCAATGTCTGCACGCATATGCTTGTTTGTTGCAAAAATCAATGATGAGGATGCTCCGTATGTCCTTAAGCCAACTTATCATACATGTAATTACGCGCTTCGTATAACAAGAATTAAATAATTGTTAATGAAAGTTTACATGCACGAGATGCGTTTACAGTTCTAAGACAAGATGTGAGCACGTAGCTGATCTCGGCATAAGTTTAATTTCATTTTACATCTTAAATGCATCAGCATCGATACGCGTGATCCGGACCTCGCGTCATGTTGTTGCTGCAGCTCACTGAGTGCGTACCGTAGTGTCTTCGTCTGCCAAAGCTCGAGCCATTAGTATCCATTTACGCTCGAGGCTGGACAATTCATTCAACGAATAAGTGACTCTGTGATATATATTTACATGCGCCGAGTATCCGTTAGATATTAGTAGATAGCTGCGGCAACAACAGTGGCTTCGTTACCGTTGCATCTGCTGGTTGTAGACGTATTCGCCAGTCCACTGCATACCATTGACCCCGGAGCGCTTGAGTATATAAAAATATTGAAAGAACAGGGTCACTTACGTACCTTTGCAACCTAGCACTCTTCGTGACGTAGGCTTATCAGCAGCTTGAGAGCGACGGCGTATCTACACTGATTATCCAGTCATCCTGTCATTCACGATACAGATATGCCCAACATCAGATCGCAGCTGCATACTGTCATCGTTTGTAGCGACATGCGCGTCGGAAAAGAATCAGAAGACTGTCATGCTGAGCATAACTGTAGCGGGGTAGCCCGATATATGAGATTGTCATCAAAACAATCTGACGAATAAAGAATATTACGTTGAATATTCTCTTAATAATATAACAAGATATGGTGATGTTGTTGGGATGACCGAAGGGTCTACTCATTGGTTGATATCGTGATGATATCAACCCACCAATCGCTGCTAGACGCGCGCAATGGGTGGTGAGTAGACGTCATCATACAAATAGTTACATTAGTATAATTAAGTCAGGACAACAGAGATTCAAGAGTTATAAAACTTAATTATATTAATACAGTTTTACTTTTACCAAGAGACTAGACTGGCTACTCAGTCTCCTTTCCTTCCTCTGTGTTTCCTTAAAACACCTAGCGGGGCACTGTCGACCACTGTCGTCAGTGGAAGTATACTCCGTACTGGTCATCCAGTACGTAGTCAACAGTGCCCCTTTACAAAAACAGTCTGTCACTTCCCCATAATTCTTGTCTTGTGAGCTCCTTCTAGATCCTGGCGTTGTCCACTAACCCCTGTACATCAGCGACATAGGTGACGCACTAGTATGCAAAACCAATACCATTTACATCTTGTTCTGCTAGAAAGTGTGCTCGTCAACTTTTACATATCGCCCTGAAGTTGCAGAAGAAATGATTAGCTAATTGTCAGAGCCTCAATTTGTATGCCGTAGGCGGATCACGGTCCTACCTTATTCCGATGGTTTCGTTTACGTAGGTCCGCGTACATTCATAGGAATGCAATCGCGGCTAGAGGTGACACATTGCATGTAAGGCTCGGCTTTATGGGCTCGTTCGCCTCCTCTTGGAACGGCGGGGACCCGGACAGGGTCGTGGTTTTCCTATAAGCTTGATTGTGTTCTTTGAGCTTCTCTTAGCGTAGAACTCGGTGCCATGTACCGCTGTCGTTTTGCCATCTGTCAAGACGAGCACAAAATACGCATCGAAAATAATTGATTTTATTTGTCTTTGTGTATTTGGCGATAGACTTGGGGACAGGTAGTCTGTCAGTTGGGGATGTTTAACCCGTCCCTTTAGATTCTCTATATGAGACTTTTTATGAGACACACTGTAAAAATTGGGCACAAAGTTGTCTCTTATAGAGAGGGGTGAGTGTACGTTGATTCGGGAAGCTTCGCGCTGACTCAGCGTAAGGAACCCAGACCAGTTCTTGCGACGTCCGGTCTCGAATATTTGGGTGCGGGAAGGATTTGGCCGCAAGCATTAAGTGAATGCGTCGATGACTCGGCCACGAGGAAGCGATTCTAAGCTGCAGAAGCGGTGTGCTGCTGGTAGGCGTGTCTCCAGATAGCACTCCACACTCCCTTCCACATAGGTTTGCCAAAGTTACATCGAGGGAATGCCGACAGCGAGCCACGTGCTAACTGGTGCCTCGGCTATCCGAGTGGGTAGGGACCGGGTCACCGTGGTGTGATGGGCTTTCCAGCCTTTGGAAAGAGTCAGACGCGGCGCAGCATGCGGGATCGTGTCACACGTTTCTTTTCTAATGGATCAGCACGCGCAAGGGTACATCTGGCGCCATAGACGGGTACGAGGGCACCCTTTTTGTCAATTCACCCAGAATGTAGGCCGCTCCTTGAGACATTCGATCTCATGAATTGATTGTGGAAGAGGTGTGGAATCTGGAGTCGTCTTTACACGATGGGCTCCGAAGCGTTTACACCGCTTAAAGCTCGTCATTCGGTTCGGTGGACAGTGCTCCACTTACCATCGACGACAGCATGCGAGTAGCAAGTGCCTGTGCACTGAGGATCGTGGCTTCACGCCCGAGCTGCTTCTTTCACCCATCGGTTCATTTCCAAATTCGCCGGCTGCAATGCTCGTTCCATCACCTCTCGTCGCCGGCCTTGTGGGCTCCATCGTCACCGGTGCCCTGGGCTTAAATCTCGCCACAGCCGCGTCGAACGTGAAGGTCATGAGCCTCAACGTCCGCACGTCGCGCGCTCCTGACCCGTGTCCGGTCGGTTGCTGGGAGTATCGCCAGTGGAGATTCAAGACTTTTTTGGAAAGCACTAGTCCTGATTTCTTGGCCGTCCAAGAAACAGCTCCCGACCAAGTCCTCTTCATCCAGACTCAGCTCGGGTACACGAGCACAGGTGAGTGTGCGGGTGAGTGTCAGTCGGAAGAACGCAACAGCATTTTCTACAAGGCCGATCGCTTCCGCCTGCTGACGTCGCAGACCTTCGCTTTGGTTCGTAGTCCATGCTCGTCCTTTACAAAGATTTCGTGCTTACTCTTGTGTGGGGAGACTAACTTATGTTTGTTGATGTTGTTGATAGAGTGACACTCCCGCAGTGCTGCCGTCTAACACGTGGAACCTCGAGTACCTCCGTGCCGCGGTCGTGGCTCGCTTCCTTGACTTGAGCTCCAACGTGGAGATTTGCATGCTGAACACACACTACGACATCTCACGCGGCCAGAACCAGTCGTCGGTTCTGGTTGCGAACCTACTAAAAGAACACTGCCAATTTAACGACGCTGTGTTCATGACCGGAGATCTGAACCATACGCCTGAAGGTCCCGCTGTCCAGTACCTTCTCGGTAATGTCGAGATCAACAATCAGCGGACGCCATTTCCATTGTATGAGACGCTGACTGCTGTGGGTGCGGGCGGACCGACGTGGATTGGACCCAGTTTTGGAGTCGAGCTCACTGGCATCAAGTTCGACTACATCCTTGCGCGTGCCGAGCGCAGAACGTGTCTCCTCCGCGGCGCGGTTCTGGCTGGTACCGTCAATAACAACTCCATCTCCGACCACGCGGCAGTGCTTTCCGAGTTCTGTCTCGGAGACGGATGCACGAACTGCGTGGCGCAGGCATCGTAGGTGTCGTTCGACGGAGTGTTGTTGATCGTTGTACTGAACGAAGACACTTGAGATACACCCATGACTTCTGCTGCTGACCTTCCGAGTCCATTGCATAGTAGTTGTAGAGCGTAAGCTTGACGCAACGAATGATTGTTTGATCTGGTCTTGTCGCAATGCCGCACTTTGTTGTAAGTACTGATGGTCTTATATCGTTTATTGACTGCAAAGTACGTTTACTACTGATTAGCCTAGCCTCAAATACTTTCATCGTTTGTCTAGTTGTGGTGAACAATAGTGTGAGGAGCTTTTCGTCGATGTTGCACGAGGGTCCAGCCGCATGGCAAAGGGAAGCTTGTATGCTCAAGCAGTCGAAAGCTTGTGGCTTTGTGTTGATCGTCTTCCACCAGCACGACCACAGTGATCCTACGATTCTGTACGACGAATCAGTGGCTTGACAGAACTCCGACGAAACCGCGGAAATCGATCAAAAAGACGGTTTTGGCTGGAGCGAAGGCGCCAGTGACTCATGCACTGGTAACAGAATGACTGCATCGAGGATTCCAAATGTTGTAGCAGGAGCGCTGAAGAACTTTGCAATGAGCGTCACTTGCACAGGTAGACGAATGAGTGATGGCACGCATTAGAGAGTTAACGTATGCCATTGTTTCGGTCGATATCGCGCTGCATACGCTGTGGAGCCACTGGGGACAAAGCTTGATCTGATGATCGCCATCACGGAAGGCATTTCGGCCCACATTCCTTGAGTACGACTTTTGGATACACGTGTCCTGTGCTCTACTGCGCGCCTCATCGCGTCAACGCTGATCGCACCATTATCACGTACGTGCATGATGTCATTGTTGCTAGCCCAATGTCTAATCTGATGTTGCAGCAGCTGAATCTGTTTGATTCCGTTGGTAGCACTCACTACACAGTTTGAGATCAGTCGCGGACGTACACTCCGCGCCAAAGCTCACTCTTGTGCTGCCTGCATCAACATAAACCGAAAAGAACTCGGCGTTGTCGGCAACAAGCTAGAATCGAGGCGATTGTAGATGTGGCGCATGGCTGCTTGAACTTCTCCCACTTTTGTGCCGACATTGTCGATGTCATGTTGGCAAGTGTATTGATATAGACGGCAGTAAGTCAGCCGACGGCACTTAGATGGCTGATCTGCTTGTGCGAAACCAGAACGATGTAGTTCTCCACAAGATAGACGTCACTGCATTCGCCACGGAATCGCATTCTCTCTCGCGGGATACCGTTCCGTTTTCACACATGACTGTTTCCGATTATGAATAGAGATCGCGAGGCCAATGTGTAGGACAGATGATAAGCTTGCCAAGCTGGTTGCAGAGGATCGAGGAGGGTAGATCACAATGGCGCACGTACCGCAATTGCTATTGTTTATGTTGTCGGTAGGACGATATTTTGTAGGTGGTTATTGTAACTATCTGGCGCGAATAATCGTTTTAGCCCTACCTTTCTTCCTTTGATCAACCCTTATCTACACCACCACTTCAAAATGCTCAAGTTGAAGATAATGGCTGTCGATTCGTCACGACAGCTGCATGTGTGTGGTTAATCAATACAACAAAAAATTGTAAATCGCTGCTGCAAATTTCTAACGATGTTCTTCGACCAGATCAGTGCGTTGACGAATTTCGGTGCATAGAAATCAAAATAGGTTGGAAGCCGCAGGGTTTTCGGAATCGGTTGGCCAAATCGAGACATGCCCGTTCCATGTGGGAAGCCTGGCATTGAGCAACCATAAGCGATGACGACGGGCGGACATGCGAAACATACATGCGCGAATAGAGCGATAGCTACATGACCGTCGTCGCGGGATGACCGGTCCTTCCAAGATGCAATCACCTCGTACATGTCGAAATGAGTCATAAACGAGTTTAGATCACCACAAATTAATGTAGTTCAACCTCACCCACACCGAAGTGTATAGCGCTCTTAAATGGGAGTTGGAAAGCACTATCAATCTTGTAAGTTGCCATTAATTTATAAAAGGACCTTAACGTAATGTGACAAAATCGCAGCGTGGTCAGGCAGTTATTTTTCTATTTCATATGTGCTGCAGCGACGAGTCTCGATGGACCAGATGATCGATTTGACGCTACAGCAAGCGCAGTCTAGATGAACGGATAAATCGTAAATGATAGCAATGTATTTACCACATTTGAAGCATTGCAGTTGCATTTTTAGAGCAATATTTCATACAAACGTAAAATTAGTGCCATCGTAAACAGCACGAAGTGTGTCACATTCATCATCAACAAGGCTGGCCTGTAACGGGGCACACCCTTGCGTGAACTTAACGCAAGGGTATCGGTGCCCCGACAGATGTACACAAGGCAAGCGAGGAAGCGTAGGTAAGGTAAAAGCAGAACCGTTATATTAATATAATTAATTCTTTTAACTACTGTCTCTCTGTTTAACTTAACTTAATTATGTTAATCTAACCGAGTGTATGGTGACGTCTCGTCACCACTCATTGCGCGCGTCTTGCGGCGATTGGTGGGTTGATATCATCAAGATATCAACCAATGAACAGACTCTTTGGTCGACCCTTCAATATCACCACTTTGGTGATATTGTTCAAAGAAAGTTCAGCATAATATTCTTTATTGTCACTTTCCTTAAAGTGACAATTCCATGTAACGGGCTGCCCCGTTACAACCCCCCTTAACTGATAGTCACCGTGTGACTATCGAAAATATGGCGGCCACTAGTTGGCCACCATTGGGACAGGGAGCACTCGTTGGGTCCGTTCCATTCACTTTCCGCTTGACCTCGCATAGTTAACATGTCTATGCGAGGTGACTCAAGACCCGCACAGCCCGGTGCTGTGCCAGCCTCTGCGGCAGACGATTCGTCGTCTGCTGCTCCTTCTTCGCCTGCAGCAAATGGTGCTGCAGGTGCACGTGACACCTCACCGCGTGCGCATGATGACCTCGACGTAGAGGTCATCTACTCTGGCGAGTCAGACGTGTCTGACTCGGGCAATGCGCCAGAGGCGTCTCGCTCACCGGCGACGCCTCAGTGTTCGCCAAGGCCACTGCCGAACGAACGGACTCGTGATTTGCATCACAGTCTGTTCGGCAGTGATGACGATGATCAGAGCGGTGAGGAATATTACTCCTTACCACCACCGGCTCGTGCGTCTTCGCACGGAGGGTGATGACGATGGCGTAGCTGTCGTCAATCTTGGAGCCGTGGTACCGACAAGAGTACCACTGTGAAGCGTGATGAGTCGAAGCCGTGGCTTTTGCCTGAACGGCTCATCAATAGCTTGTCTAACGAGACAAGCCAACACCATCGAGTCCCCATATTCGATGCGACTGAGCTTCACGGCTTGAGTTGTAGCGCGAAGAACTTTCGCGCTGAAGAAGATTTTTATCTCGATGTCTTTCTTAGACATCGATGGTACAACAGCAACCAAAAGCGTGACAAAGCATCGCTTTTGGCTGCGTGGAACGCGTTCGTCCAAAGTGTAAAGAATTTTGGACGAGAAGGATGGCTCAAGAAACTTGAGGCGACACGCCTCAGGTTCGAAAAGCGAACGCCAACCGGTGCTAGGTACCGGTTGCACAGTTTATCGAGTGAGGCAGGCATTTCTTGCCTCACATGGGGATACCCTTGTGCGAGTTGTGCTGACAACTCGCAGCGTGCACATAGGGACGTGTATTCCCTAAGTTCACCCTGGGGAAGGGCACACATCTCGGCTGAGATGCGTGACGCGATTGCAAACTTGCAATCCGTCTACAAGCGCCTAGGGCGCGTGTTTACCGATGGTCCCGAGGGCCTATCGGATGGGTCTCGTCATACTGGCGGACGATACCTTCAACATCCATCAACAGCTGAGAGCGGGGCTCCCAGCTGTTCCAAGAGGGTGGATACCCCCTCCACTGGACGAGGTAGCTCGTCCTTGATCCTGAATCGTCACGGTGATTCAAGATACGCTCCACTAGAAAGCGTTGATCACCGTGAGCATCCACCAAAGGATGTGGTGGGGGAGGAAAGACCTCCTCCAGAACCCCAGGCCCACCATCTCGACCCTTACGAGATGGATCGCGCAATCGATGAATTGCGCGATGACTTGAAGCACGAGCGCGACCGGCGCTACGCTTTGACTGATACCGTGCGGAAGAACCTCAAGGATCACGAGGCTGATCGGGCGGGGGATCGCGCCGATTATGCCACAGCGCAGCTTCAGATCGATCGGGATGTACGCTCCCTATTCGGCGAGCTGGAGACAGCTCGCGGGGAGATATCTCGGTTGAGTTCCGAGGTATTATATCCGCGCAACCAGACGGATCGTCTGGAGCGCGAACGCAAGAACTTGATGGATGTTCTTGAACGTGGGGGCTATCTTCATCGGAAGAAGAAGGCTCGTACTGACAGTACGGCCTGAGCCTCCCCACGTGAAAAGTAGGATGCGTGCGCATCTTACGTGGCAATTCGATCGTGTATGCATTGCCCTTGCGATGCAACACTCGAAATGGCCCAATGTACTTCGGCAGTAGTTTACTACTGCCGACACTAGTGACTGCATGTCTTGGTAAGTTTACCGTAGACAGTAGTACTAGGTTGTTAACTTTAAATGAAAGAACATTTGCTCTTCCATTCTTGTCTGCGTTCCGTTTCTGACGGTCCACCGCATTTGCGATGGAGTCCTGAACGAAACGGACTACCGCTTCTCGAGTCAGCAGGAAGTTCTCTGCTGACTCTTTGTTTTGTCTAGCAGTGCGCTTCGTGCGCACTGCTAAGAGATTGCTCTCTTCTTCAGCGAGGTTGTCTTCTTCCTCGCTGGCATAATCGTTGACGATGCTGAATATACCAGCATCGTCATCATCATCCGAGTCAACAATAGCGTTGCCGCTATTATTGAGTTGATCTTCGTCATCGATGTCGACTTGATCGACATCGGCATCATACGTGACGACGTTAGCGTCGACACGTGATGAGCAAGAGCCAAAACGGTTTTTGCTCGAGCGAGTCCCCCC